ATATAATAGCAATAACAATAAGTGCAAAAAAATAAATATAAATAAAAATAAATAAAAGTAACACATAAAAAAGTAAAATAAAATAAAAGTCACATATAAAAAAAGGGGAAAAAAAAACCCCAAAATGTTTAACTTTACGCGCCTATAAACGTAAATACGCGTCCGGTGCCCCAGCGCGCAAAAATTACAATTGCGCTACACATGTTACATATCGCCGCGACCGTCGCAGTGAGAGCAATCATTTTAGGGCCATCAATCACTGATAACACTAAACTGATGAGCGGTAACAGCTTTTAAAGCGTCGCCTATGGCCAATTTTGGGTATTATCGTTTTTTGAGGTTTCGCGCGCGCACGCAATTTTAAGGCTTGACATGTTTAGTGTCTTTTTACCTGACGTGACCCCATCTTTTATATTTTACCAACAAATTGGGTAATAATAAATGTTTTATCATTTAATATAGGGGAAACTGTTTTTTTTTTTTAATTTCGGTAATTTTTCCTTAATATAGTAAAAAATAAAACCCCCAGTGGTGAATAAATACCACCAAAAGAAAGCTCTATCTGTCCCCAAAAAAGGGTATAAAATTCATTTCAGTACAGCGCTGCATGACGGAATAAATGTCAGTCAAAGTACCGCAGCGCTGAATACTGAAAAATGGCCTGGATGGGAAGGGGGTTTAACACCGCGGATGTCAACTGGTTAATATGTTTTCTATTTTCTATTGTGAATAAATCTGGGTTTATGAGATTTGAAAATCATTGCAGTCGGTTTTTATGTAGATTTTACACAGCGTCCCAACTTTTGTGGAATTGGGGTTACTTACAGAATCAACAGGTAATAATAATAACACTTTATTCAACCCTTTGCATACCAGTGCATTGTGACACGCTGCAGAGCATTGCAACCCCTTGTACTGCATGAAAACGTAGACATGGTGTGAACAGGGCACACAGAAAATGTTTTTGTGTTTCCACCACAATAATGCCTTGAGATGGGTTGCAGTGTGAGGTATAAAAATTTAGACATGCTGCATTTTTCCATTGCTCACCTGAAGTCACTTTTAATAACCTCACCACAGCTCAGCTACAGTAAGAAAGATATAACGTGCCTTCACTTGCCAAAATGAATGTTCCCTGAGCTTAGTAAGATGAAGCTCTTTCTACTTTAATCAGACAACCATTTGTATCCATGTTTGTAACATTTTCCTTGCACATTGGGTTTTCAGTGAACACAGGTTCTCCTTATTTTCACATTGCAAGATCTACTCTTTTAGCACATCAACTTTAATGTCACTTCAAGTATGGCCAGAGGCTGGAACTGGCCCAGAAGTACTGGCATTTTTTTATCCATTTGCAAGGTTTTTGCCCTGAGCAAAGTGCTTGTAGGTGGCAGTCAGGTATACGCACCTTTCCAAAGACACTGACTGCACCTGGCTGCCACCTACAGGCAGTGTCACTGGATAGGTGGACAGGTGGTAACCAGGTGCTTGTAGGTGGCAGCCAGGTGCACTGTTGGTGTCTCTGTAAAGGTGTGCACCTGCCTGCCACCTACAAGCACTGTCAGTGTCACTGAATTGGTGTGTGCATCTAGCTCTCACGTAGCCACCATTCCAGTGACACACACTGACAGCCAATTGAATTGTGAGTGTGATTGGATTGTGGATAGCTGAGAGCCAGGTGCACACACCTTTCCAGAGATAAGCTCACCTATCCACCATTCCAGTGACACTTAGAGTGCATCTGGCTGTCATGTATCTGCCATTTTAGTGATAGTGCCTGTAGGTGTCAGTGTTACTGAAATGGTGTGCACCTGGCTCTCACCTATCCACCATTCCAGTGGCACTGACTGTAGGTGACAGCCAGATGCATTGTCAGTGTCATAGATGGCTAGGTGAGAGCCAGGTGCACACACCTTTTCAGAGACAATATCACCTATCTTTCATTCCATTGACAATGACAGGGCTCGTGCCTCCCACATACAGACACTGTAAGGGCCAGTTCACACCATATGCAGTTGTGAATCAGTCCGTTTATTTGACTGCTGCGGTCAAAATACATCACAATGCTTTCCTATGGGCTTTCTTGTGCTTAATTCACACTGCAATGGTGTAAATAAAGCACAAGAAAGACCATAGGAAAGCATTGTGATGTATTTTTACTGCAGCAGTCAAATAAACGGACTGCATCACAACTGCATATGGTGTGAACTGGCCCTTAGGGTTATTGGAATGGTGGATAGGTGGGCACCAATGGTGTACACACAGTGCACCTAGATCCCACCTATCCATCATTCTGTAGACTCAATTGCTTAAGCCCCTACTACTTTTTAAAGCACCATTTGGACACACACTATAGCCCCACCCATCACCCCGCCCACAATCTCAGGGATTTCAATTTCCCTGCCTATGTGTATGGCGATCTATAACCATCAAAAAGCTTTTGTTGGCTTATCAAACAAGATGGACTCAATATGAAATAAAGCTTTGTGACACGCGAGGTACTGATTATTTGTGCATTAAAAACTATAGCAGTTGTTGGCCTACTTTCTAGTGAGTGCTAGGGGGTAGAGCCCCTTCATTTGCCTCTTCATAGATATGTAGATGACACACAGTGGAATGGGCCCAAATAGGTTCCCATTCAGAGAATGTGATAAGTGACAGTAACAGTCAGGTTTTTTTGTTGTTTTTGCAGACATAAGCAGAGAGCCTACACATGCACAGGGAGTATGACAGTTACAGAAGAGGAAGTCACAAAAGGTTCTTCCTCTTTAGATTCCGGAACTGTCTTTTCAGTCTTAGGAGCCTGGCTGCGTCTCTGCCATCTCTGACTTCTTTTCATCATATCTGCCATCAATCTGCCAAGTACCCTTCAAAGAAGACAAGTTGTGCTGCCTTTTTCCTGTACACTTGCAGCTCTGGTTTTTTTAGCTTTCTTATCAAAGTCCTCCATCCATTCCTGGTCAGGTGTCTCTCGACAATACCCTGCTCTGTTCCCTGGTATCTCTCTGTATTCTCTTTTGTGCCCTGTCCCCCCTAGTCGGGCACAGTGGCGGACATGGAGTTGTGGAGGCAATGTGCCCGATGGCTGATTGACTGCCGAGTGCTCCCTCCGAATCATCGTGTGACACTAGACACCGCCCAGGTATGCGACCTGGCCCAAGCCTTACGAGATGGGGTCCTACTCTGCCAGCTTCTCAACAACCTGATGCCTCACAGTCTCAATCTTGGCGAAATCAATGTGCGGCCCCAAATGTCACAGGTATGTCAGACTTTTGGTTTTAATGTATACTCTGTGGGTGGAATTGATCAAATCTGCAGCTGTTGCCTACAGCAACTAATCAGCTTCTCTTTTCCGTTTGTTCAGTTAAGTTTTGAAAATGAAAGCTGATTGGTTATTATGGACAACGGCTCCAGATTCTGTCTGCTCCAGTTTCATAAATTCCCCTGCGTCTGTGTGTACTCTTTGCAATATTTTGGTATATCACCGATGTGGTAATCCCACTTACAAGCACAGTATCCTCTTTTGCGTAATGTATAAAATATAGTATCCACTTTTACATAATACTACATCCTATTATTATTCATCATCAGGATGTCTATACGTTGAGGAAGACATTTGCTAAGGTGCCAGCCTTTCTCAAACTTTTTACACCGGAGGAACACTTAAACAAAAAAAAATGTAAGATCTCCGGAAACCCCTAGAAAAATGTTATCTTCAGGGTATAGTTAATTTGTGTGATCGTTGAGTTGTAGATATCAATTAAAAGCTGTATATTTTCCATATTGAAGAAAAATAGGTCATTTCTGTGTTCTTTTAATACTCATGATTACACAGTCACATGTTATTCTCCAGATTGTCTTAACCATGGTCTTCAGGACTAGTGTCATCTTTAGGTGATTCTTTCTTTTCATGAACTTGTTATCTGGATTGTGAAAAGGTCGGTCCAGTGAAAAGGTCCATCTCTGGTTTGAGTATGTCATATGAATAGAATGAGCCTAATTAGAGGGATTTCTATTCTATATTAATATTCTATATTTGCCAACTCAAACCAGTCTGAACTTACTACATAGAGCTCTTTAGAATCCAACACAAATAACAGTTTTAGGGAATTCTATGCCGAAAACAGTAAAGACAAAGAGGGGAATTTATCAAAACTGGAGCCCATGCCCATGGCAATCAATCAGCTTTCATTTCCAAAGCTAAATTGAAGCAAGAAGCTGGTTTGTTGCCATAAGCAACTTCTATAGACTCTGCTCCAGAAAGATTTGTACAACCCTACAAGGAAGTGGTGAACACTGATCAAACTTGTTTTTCTTCACCATAGTTAACATTTTTTTACTATAGAAGTTGACAGATGTTAAACAGGCTAGATGTGGTTGAGGTGAGTGCATTCACGATCCATCACAATTCTATATGCAGTCTAGCTTGAAGTTCCATACAAACATGACTTATGTGTTCATTTCCTGAAATATTAATATGCAAATCTCTGTTTTGTGTCTTCACCGTTGTGTATTTGGTCTGCAACTTATGGCATGCATACCCAGCATCCCAAAAGATGTTACTTACCTAGTAGACACAAGCCGCTCCTTTCTTCCCAATCCTCTTAGTGGTGACGTCAGAAGCCTGAACTTTAAGGGTACCATTGAGCTGATATTAGTCCACCCAGCGGTACTCAGCAATGAGTGCAAGAAGAATACTGTAGCTACCATTGGGCAGCTAACCCTGAGGACTTCTTGTGGAACCCCAGGATTCTATGCAACCCCAGTTGAGAGAGCCTGAGTTATCCTCAATAATAATTGAAAAACATAGGGGCTGGGTGCATTGGAATTCCAAGCATGTCAGCTGGTGAGGGCAGACATGTTATACCTCTTTACTGCCAATAATATTACATCTGAGAGGATGGATATAGACAAGTGTAGGAGCCAATCTGCATATTAGCAGCCTCCCAGCTTCAAAGAATTGCTCATATTCTTTATAGTAAGACATCTAAAATGGTTCTGCCAACTAGAAATTATTTTTTGAGTTCTTGAGCAAGCTTCTCTGAGGCACCATTCAGACCTGTGCTTTGCAGTAACACATTTACTGCACCGTACCCAATGCATGATGGGGGGTGCTCTGCAGTGCCATTATTTTGAGTGGCACCCATGTGCTCATGCATTTTAGTGCACAATAATGCATATCTCTGTGCTGTGGTGCAAAAAAAAGGCTCAGGTCTGTTTTTATTCTTTGCTCAGGCAAGCCCGTTCATAATGAATAAGCTGCCTTAAAGTGCACCTTTACCCCCTTTTCAGTAAAAAGCACATCAATGTTTAGCTCTGCATGCTGATATGAAATCTTACATTTATTAGTTAAACAGATTTTTTTCCTTTTACCTACAATTACTGTTTTTGTGATGTAATCTGTACCCAAGCATTGCATCCTGGGAAGGTTACATCAGGAGAGCATTGGTGGGAAATCCCATCTATAATCTCATGAGATCCCATGGAAAGGCTTTTCCTCCCCTGAGATTATGTGCATGGTCACACGTCCTAATCACATGTATGTGCCAGAGTTACAGGAAGTAAAAGGGAGATATATTAATCTGCCCTTAGTAAAAAAAATAGTCACCGTGAGAAGACTGGGGAAGAAAAGAGAAACAAGGACAAGGTATGCAAAGAATACAAAGCCGGCAATTATCTAGAAGTATATGTTTAAAGATTGTCATTACTAAACATTTCTAAAGGTGTCTTTGTTGTCATTTTCAAAATATGGGTTAATGTCCGCTTTGCCACAGAGTACAATAATGCAGGAAAACGCAACACATAATGTGAATCCAACCTGGTACTCAAGGCAACACTTTTTTTTTTTAAGATCTGTATAGCGTGGTGAGGGGTTAAAGCCACTGTCACTTTTTATTGGTCTCTGTATCATTGTTAGGAAGATTCAGTCTCTCTAATTGTCCTGATCACCAGTGTCACCAGGAATGAAAGTGACGGCAAAACCAAACTCTTGAGTTGCCACAACAACAGGAATAGAGGGGAAATCTTCCAATAGGGACAAGTGTCTTAGAGGGGATTTCCCTTACATAAAAAATATATCCTTTCACTTCCTGTTGAAGTGTTGCGTCTACAGGACATAAAGTAGACATATTTCTCCTGAGATGCAGCCGGCAAAAATAAAAACTGAAAGCTGTTTTAACCATTCCTTACTTTATCCAACATGAAAAAAAATGTTTTGGCTTTAAATATACTTTAAATTGGACCTTTACCCCCTTCAAATCACATCAGTATACAGCTCTGCACGCTGATATGAAATCATCCTACATTCATTAGTTAAAAAAACATATTTCTCTTTTGCTTACAATTATTGTTTTTTTCCACTTCCTGGTCCTCTTGGGCATTAGTGATGTAATGTGGCCATGCGTTGCATCCTGGGAAGATTATATCAGCAGAGCATTGCTGAGAAATCTCATCTGTAACCTCATGAGATCCCAGGGAAAGGCATTTTCCTCCCCTGAGATGATGTGAATGGTTACATGTTCTAGTCACATGTGCCAGAGTTCCATGAAGTAAAGGGAGATCTAGTAATCTGCCCTTAGTAAAAAAAAATGGCCACTGTCAGAAGACTGGGAAGGAAAAGATATATAATGTATGCAAAGAATACAAAGCCGACAATTATCTAGAAGTATGTGTTTGTAGATTGTCATTACTGAACATTTCTAAAGGTGTGTTTGTTGTCATTTCAAAGATATGGGGTAAAGTTTCTCTTTAAACTCTGATAAGCTGTCCATGTGAAATGGAGATTGTATTTACTCAGATGTAAAGATTATTGGTTATTAAATTTTGCAGAAAGAGATGGGGTTGTAATTGTATAAAAAGTACAGGTCCTTGAAAAGTTCTCTGTCTTTATCATCATTTTGGTATAATACAGTATGTTAAACTCTCAAAAACAAGTTCTGTAGGACACTTTATTTGATAAAGATGCCTCAGGCCTTACCTATTAATTGCAACTCCAGCCAACACCTTTTGTTTTCAAGTAGAAATTGGTAAGAGGCTCCTGCAGGTTTTATTACTATCTAAGGCCTTGCTAAGGAGATGTCCTATCCTGGGCACAATGTTGTCTTCTGCACAGGAAGTGAAAGAGGGAAGATATCCAATAGGGCAAAGATAATCTAGCTTCCTCCTATTTTACTTTCAAAAGAGTATCTTGATTGCTGTCTGTGTCCCTCTTGGAGAGTTCTTCTCCATTCCTAACACTATCCAAAGCTGAATAAAAGATTTAGTTGGAAATACACTAACTAAACTGGGCCTGTATATTATCTGCTATAATGTTGTATGGGGAAATTCATTTATATGACAATTGAAAGCTTGCAGACATCATTTACAGCTTTAGTATGCCTTCTGTATACATGATCATTGCTTGTTTTGGGCGTAAATGCAATACTGCTTTGATGAACCTAAAAACTAGCACATAGGGGATTATTTATGAAGCAGTCAATGTGATTTTACCAGGCATTAACTGGTGGTGAATAATCACTGGAAAACACATAACCAGGTAGATTTACCTCCAGTGAATGTTTGTTGCATGTCAGATTTACTGCTTTATAAATATGCCAAGAAGTGTCAAATGTATACTACACTAGTCTGCTAAAGTCACTCAATGCTTTACACTAGGCCCAGATTCACACCACTTTGTCCCACATTAAGGTACAAAGCAGCCCATTCATTTTGAATAGGGTGTCAATGTACCACAACAGGCCTTTTAAAGCAGTTACACTTTTTTTTTTGTTTCAGCACACACAACACAGAGATGGTTCACACCTGTGTGTTGTGGTATGCTAAAACACAGGGCCATTGTCGTGCATTGAGGATGTGTGTTGCAGTTATGTGCACATTTCCACAATGTTAAGATGTGAACGAAGCCTGACAACCTTTAGGCCCCGTTAACACTATTAAACTGCGGTAATGCACGTTACGATGTGGTTCCTTTCTTTCTGGATGGCATCCCAAAGCACCTTCTCAAAGCACTTGCGTCACAGCGCTGAAAAAGCTGTATGCACTTGCATTGCACTACCAAAAGTGCTCCATGAACCTGTTATGGTGCATTAGGCAGCCCATACAAAAGAACTCAATACAACATAATACAAGTTAATGCACATGTGATAATGCCGCGCAACAGTATGAACGCACGGGGCCCTAAATTGTAAAATTTTCCTAAAACAAAAAATACTTGGGTGTGTATCACACAAATGAGTTACTTGAATAAAGTGCAGTCTATCT